AATACGGAACGAAGTGTAATTGAAGATTATCTGCAATCGCGCATAGATTGTGTGCCATTCTGACGTAACACAATTCAACCTGATTATTTGAAATGTCCTCGTTTGTCCGAGAACGCAACACCTTGCAAGATATATTGACATTCGCGTACGGCAAACAATACTCGCATTCAGCAGATGCAGTGAAACAGCGTGTATCTGCAATTAACAGAGAATCCTATCACGAACGAGCCACAAACTCCCAACTTGCACCTTGAGCATTCTACATTATGACGCGTGTGCATGCTGGCGATTCAAACTCGATTTGTTTCGAGAGAGCCGTCTAAATTTAACCCGTTAAAATCGCTGCTATTCAATCAGCCTAAAGCGAAGTTTTAATCACTTCTGCTTAGTGCCGGAGTATTTACCGAGAACCAACGCGCATTTCGCTGAAGAGTTTAATCTGCGATCGTAAAAAAAAAAAAAAAGGAAAATTAAGAAGAAAGAAACATTTGGATAATAAACGAGATTCACTGAGCATCTTGGAAGATATATTTTTTAAGAAGTTCATTCGAAAGGAGAAAAAAGAATAAGATTCATTGAGAATCTTGGGAAATATATTTGTTAAAAAAGTTCGTTGAAAAAGAAGAGAAATCGAGGATAAAATTCATTGAAAATCAGGAATAGAGAATATTTTTAAAATATTCATTCGAAATGAAGAGAGACCAAGAATAACAAAATTCGCTGACAATTTTTACTAGATTTTAGTTAGAACTATTGAAATGAACAATTTGTAATTTTTATTGGAAATTTTGTTGATGCGAGACAATATATTTTTAGAAATTTAAGTGATTTTCTTTAGGCAAATTATTTATAAGGCAAAATATATTCTGCTTCTGTACTCTATGGTATTTTAAAGTATTTCAGGTTTTTATTTTTTTACTCCAATACTTTTGGTGGAAATTTTAGATTTTAGTCGTCTGTCGTCTCAGAAAATATTTTTGAAGAATTTATTTCGCAGTCGGAAATTCTGAAAATATTTAGAAATACGTACGCACACTACTGGGTAAAATATTTCTGATTTTCTAATAATTTTTCATTAGATCATGGCTGTACTTAGACTGCGAATATTTATGAATGTTTGGAAAATTTAAGATTTCAAAAATCTACAAAATTATAATAAAAGACAATTTTTATTTAGTTATTTTTACTCGCATAGCTCAGAAATTATCTTTAATTATCCCCCCAAAAATAAAATTACCAATATCGTCTTTACCGTAATAACTATCAATCAAATGTGGTATTATTCTAATAAAAATACTGATGCAACAAATGAATAAACATACTTGTGATACAGCAATATTTTTGATCAGGAAAATGTCCACTGTATCTTTCAACGTGACTCACCTGAAACAAAAACGACGAATACGATGTTAGTAATTTTATCCAATTCATTAATTTATTTAATATTAATATTATATATAAAATTCTAAAATTTAATATCATAAAATCATTAAATTAATATATATAAAATTCATCGCCATTGGATGAAAGAAGTTGATCGTCAACGTCCCATGAAACATTAATGTATGACAAGCGAATGATCCTAATGCTCTGTGCAATTTTCATCCTCGAGACAAATGATCGTAAAATATCTCCTTAATCATTAGGTTAGGGACTAATGTGGTTTAATTTTTTATTTGAAATTTAATATTCTTGAATTTAACATTCAAGATGTCTTTGGAAATTTCGAAACCCACATAAAATTAATACACCATATCTTTCCACCCTCGAAACCATACAACATTTGTGTGTTAAACAATGTTTCATAATTTAAAAATTATCTCAGGTGTGCAAGCTACATGAATCATCCTGTACACATAATCAGGATTCTACCACTAAATGGCAACGAGATATAAAATATAAATCCACATTCCTCGGAGATTAGTATTAAAGGCAAGTATAACCATTCGTTCTAATGATTTCAAGAATTCCACGCATATCGAGAGCAATGATAAATATACATTTCCTCGAAGGCAATGATCTTGCTGGAGGCACGTTACAGTCGCAACACTGTTAGGCAATAGCATGAAAACGACTAAACGATCATACTGATTGCACTTCGCCGCGATCGTCTGTGTTCAGTAATCGCTTTTACATCAAACACGCTGAAAGATCTTCATTATGCTCGAAACATGAAACGATAGCGGAGAACCGATAAAAATTAATATTATTGCTCTTCGTCATTTTTTACGTCTGTAAACTTATTTATCATCGAGTGTAACGAATTACGTTGATCCAATCTTGCCGAAAGAGTTTCTTGAATTTCTAGCGTGGAATCGATGAAAAATTTCTCCTCCAAGAAACAGTTCAAGTTTAGGCTATCATTCTGCTTTGAATAAAAATCGTCGAGTCGCGCGACAGGAAAAAGATCGCCCCAATTCGACGCTTCATTGCATTTACATCAAGGCCGTAACATGGACGTTGAACACGCACGTTGAACACATTGAACGTATTCTGTGGCTATCAGGAAGCCCATTAGTTAGCAGCCCGAAGAAATGTTGCCGTAAAAGCTTGCTGTCTGCGGTATAATGTCCGTGCATTACTGTCAACTTCCATGCTTCCATTGTTTCAAATTCCACGGAAGAAACGGTCCGCAGGTCACCGCGTCGCTGAATTTACAGAAGGTAATGTGTCCTGTTTGTTCTCAGCCGAATCGCTCCCAAAATCAATCAGGAATTAGAGAAGCATACTAATACGTGCATACGAAGAGCAGAACTGTGTCAGTGAAACAATGAAAAATTGTCAACAATTGAAACTGATGTGACTGATACGTAAAGGAAGATCGTGCTCGATCTTATTTCAAAGCGTGAAGCTTCTAACTTTGATAATTGTGAATTTGTCTTCTTCGAAGATGTTTCGCCCTTGCAACAAGCGCGAAAGTGAGGACGCTTTGTTTCTACAAGGTTATATTCAAAAGCGTGTAGAAACATTGAAAACACACTATGGTTCTGAAGATTGGAACTTTCCTTTTAAAACTTGCTGTATAGCCTTTTTTCGCTGTTTCATCAAATTTCGAATGTTTTAATAACAATTAAACTACAAATTTTCGTGTGTTTTGGGAGACACGAAGAAGCGTAAATTTAATACGTACGCGGGTACGTGAAAAAAAATATACAAAATAAACGAAAACCGAGTTGCAAAGTGTAAGATCAACAGAAACTCATATTACGCCACGTGTATATTAAAACCTCGTCAACTTTTGTTCGAACAGAAAACTGTTGCGAGTGTGCAGGTAAAAAAAAAAAAAAAACACCCCGGCGAGTTTCAGCAAGTATGATTCACAAGCGTGTTTTGCAATAACAGAAACACGTTCTGCACAGTGTATCTGCTAACGATGTAACAAGAAGTGATCCCAAGCCTCGATTACACGTGTGAATTACAAAACGTGACTCTGTCTGCACGCCAGCGCACGTAGAATGAGTTTCTACACGGCTTCTCCCTTACATGACGATCGAATTGCTCTCTTGGATCGTTGCATCGACTTTAGTGGTTGTAATTAGATCGTCGAATGCTACTTTGCAAGCTGCTTTACTGCTTAATCCGCCGGTGAGCGTAGCGATGGTTTCAAACGATTTGATCCGAGTCACGACGCCTTGTATCTCTAATAATGAACTGCCCGTCTACTATTCATTAATCAGTTTGCAACAATTAACTCCAGAAGCAAAAAAGATTAAACTTATTCGTATTCATTTCGATTCATTATAATTCTAATTATGACAATTTGAAAATTATTGTAACAATTGTAACAATTATTACACGCAGCGATTAAGTGAAATTGAATCCCTCGGTATGTCACGTGTAATTTTTTTCATTGCAAAATGACATTTAGATTTAAACAATAGAAAGACAGAAAGACAATAAAATGTTTGAGAGCAGTGTTCCTTTATTTCTAATAAATCTTCTTTCTCTACCTTTCAAGTTTACTTAGAGTAACCAAATAATGATGTGTTTAATAGGCGAAGTTTATGCGTTTATGAAATAAAATATCTAGTCTTTTAGTTTTTAATTTGTTGGACAGAATATCCAGTGTGGATTTTTGTAAAATATTATGTTACAATAAAATTACGGTGAAAGCGTGTTTTTCATTTCACAGCACTATAAAATGATTGCTATAAAACATATTATATTTATAGAAATTGTATGTTAACTGTTAGTTATTCATCAGAAATAATATTACAGAAATAAATATTATGTTTCAAATATTTGGTTTTGATATTCAATATAATTTTACAATTTTTCACACGCTCACGCTTTTTATAAATGAAATATTATAAAGAAGAAAAAAGACATCTGAAGGGCAGCATTAATAAAAAGAATAGCAATGTATCTGTTATATTCAAATAAATAAGTGGTAAAAATCTTTGCCTAAAAATAATCGCTATAACCACAGAGAAATCACCTTTGGACCCTCTTTATGAATCATGACCCACATTAATGTGGAAGGAAACTCGGGTTCAAAGGGCAATGAATATAATAGAGCTCAAAGGTATATTATAAAGGAATCCTGGTCAGGTAACTACTCTACTAGTAACACCACGTTATATTATATATACTACTAAATACTAGCATGTAGCACACATGCTAGTAAACGTGTAGTAATAATATATATACTTTTGTTAGAAAATTTTAAAATTTCCTACATAATTTGTCACTTTAAATATTTAGTAGCAAATAATTTTAACTGTCTATTTAATTGTCTAATTTTTCTAATGTTTAATACATAATAAAATTACATGTGTATTGGATAATATATATTAAATATTTTAATAATATATTTAATATTTTAATAATATATTTAATATTTTAATAATATATTTAAAAATTCTTCGTTGAATAAGATATATCACTTAATTTTAAGACTAAAATGACAGAGTCCCTTCTCTTTTTGTATTTAAATATAATAACATCCCTTGCAAGTTTAAAACAATTGCAATTATTTCTTATGTTTGAAAATTGTTAATGACCCAACTTTCGTCGGGTACTAGAAAAAAATTAGGTTCAAAGACCCGTCACAATTCCCCTCCACGGAAATCTTTAGTAAAAGGCGAAAGATTTATACGTTATTTGAAGGGGAACCAGGGTACCCTACCTTTCGTTCTATGGGGATCTATAGTGTACCGATGCACTTTTCGCAAGCGAGAAACGTATCCCTCTGGTGTGAGCTTGATGCATTAGTTCATACCAACGTCTTGAAACATTGTATTAATTCATACTAATTTCTTGAAACATTGTATTAATTCATACTAATTTCTTGAAACATTGCATTAATTCATACTAATTTCTTGAAACATTGTATTAATTCATACTAATTTCTTGAAACTTTGATAAATAAAAATATTATCTAATTTATATCGAAGGGACATTTTTCAAACGTTCGTTTCTCAGAAAATACACATGAGATTATAATTGAAAATTATTATAATATTATAATAATATTATAATATTAATATTATATAATAATATTATTAATATAATAATATTATAATTGATTCGATCCTATTAAAAAAAAAAAAAAAAAACACGGCATTTATCAAAATTCCATAAAGATTTCAATATATATATATATATATGTATGTAATTACGAAGAAATTATAGCGAGCAGATATCCAAGCAACGAGTACTTTCTCCTCGAGCATGAAGTTAAACGTGACGTGACACAGGCCTAGAAAAGGAACAAGTCTCTTGTAATTAAACGATTAAACATCAGAATGTAGTCAGTCGATTCACGATAGAAGGAACACTCAGTTAACGCGTTAACGTTGGCTCCAGACTCTCCCATTCACTATTGTGCGACAAAAAGGTTGTGAGCGGAGTTGTGCTTTCGTCCATCTTCCATAGAGGTACTTGAAGGAACGGTAGAACGATTAATACCGCCTGGAGTTTGTTAGGGGACCCAAGAACGGGGCTGCCCTCCTTTGTTAAAATGTCCTATTGTGTAAATGTCTTGTTAACTCTTAAATGGTATCATTGAGCCTGACTATGTATAACAATTTAGATTACCTAATTTCGGAAATTATAATTCAATTTAACTTTATTGTTGAATCTTTGAGAGACTCAAACAATTTCATTTTCTATTCTCTTCTCCCTTCGAATAATTTTTCAGACAGTTGAAACGAAAGATTCGTTGCAAATGATGATTTGCTTGAAGTTGCTTCGCCAAAGGGTTGTTCTTCAAATAAAAATACAAATGATAAGTCAGTGAAAACGACTCACGTTATTTCAAATTGTCACTTTTCACGTTCATTTCAAATAAATATTTGACCTCGAACCTGATCTCTACAATTTTTCATCGTTATTAGTTCAGTTAGGCTTTTCATTCGAAAAACTATTGTAGCAGATACGTATAAATCTCGCGCAGCAGTGAACGTGTTAATGGTTTAACTTGTTAACTAAGGACCGCAGAGAGCAAAATTTCTCGTTCTCGATTCTCCTCGGCTTTAAAACGTTGGCCCGCTCGCGACAATGCGTTTCTTTTCAACCGGAATGCTCGACTTCTCGACTCGTTACTCACCGTACGAAACCATCGTCGAATCGATTCTCGCGCCGGTTTCCCTTACGATTTTTAAAACTTCCTCAAAGTGCAATTTTTAAGGCTTTCCGCACTGATACGAACGACAGGTCGTTCTTTCTTGGGGAAAAAGGCAAAATGATGTTGTTATTGAAGCTCTATTTTTCATATACATATACATTTTTGTATGTTGTGTAAATTTTGCTATGTTCGAATATCTCGTAAACGCCATAAAAAATCCATACTCTAGTTATACTTAGCGAATGAGCAATTGCTGCTTCAGAGTTAAATTCCATATCTTCAAATAGTAATTCGTAAAGTTACAATTAAAATTTGTAAAAAATAATAAACATGCACAGTGTGTCTATTCGTAAGTGCAAGTTTAACCGTGCATTGCATATTAAATGGACTCGTACGATTACAATGTATGCATGTTCTAATAGGAAGGGCACGTCAAATAGTCAGATCCTTAATATTCGTATTTATTGCACTAGAAATAATTCGAAAGACGGTCTGAAGGAAATGCCGTGGCATTAATCAACGGGTTACTTTCATTCGTAATCATAGAGCGCTGTTGCAAATAAAAAAGACGGGACGACATTCTGAAACCAACATAAGTACAGAGCAGGATGAAACTCAGATTGGCGATTACGTTAGCGGACATCCATAAAATACCGCTGGTTATGATTTATCGTCAATCTCTTTAATACCAGGAAGCCCTGACAACAATTTCCTACGTATTTCTAATTTCTACATTGAAACACGATAATTATATTCTAAAAAAAAAAAAAACATATTTGTGCATATTCTTTAACAAGAAATTTTTACTCACGAAAATTTATACTCACTGATTATATTCTCGTGTCACTGGTAATTTCATTTCTTCACTTGTCATTATCATTTTTATACAACAGACGAACACGAGAAAGGAATTGAAACAATCGTGAAATTTGTGAAAAGAAAAAAATTTAGACAAATAAAATATTATCTCTCAGCAGCGCGAGTCACGTACAAAATTCAATTGCAATTGTAAAAGATGTGTAACACACAAACGTCAGGAAAAGCGCCAAGGATTTAACGTCTGTAGATCGATATCTAAACGACAGTGTAATAAGTCATAAGTCTTTTAATGACGCTTAAAGAACCAACTAAGTGGTAAAGTCATTTCAAAGAGTAATAGTAGGACGCAAGACATACTCGTTCACGCTCTTAATTAAACGATTAAGAGAAAGAATGACCCGTCGTTTTAAAGCTGATAATACTTGTAACTTAATTTTTCTCTGGGAACCAACCGTGAAGAAGCTGCCACTTTATTAGAGGCACGAAGATCAAAATCATCAGAGAATGAATTCTCTGTTGAATAAAATTATAATTTTTCTCTGTAATTATATATAAAAATTACAATTTACTGACTAACATTGAAAAGGAATTTTAAAAATGTAAGAAAAATGACTATCACTGTGGTATTTGAGATAAAATGAATATCGACAGCAAAAACTTTTGATAACAAATGTAAATAAATAACTGATACAAAGAGAAAAATGCGCCGCTTTTATTAAACTCTTTCTTTGTAAGGCGTAACAATCAACAATCAATCGATCAAGTTAAATAGAATCCAATCTATACTATCTATTTTATTTTTATCATAAACGGACAAGTGACTAATGCAGTTCTAATAAATAACTGTAACAAAAGATAACAACGGACGGAAATATCGACAGTATCTTATTTGCCTAGATTTTGTTCTACGTGTTACGTTATCTACGCTGTACTTAGAAACATCAGACACTAATCAAGTAGTGTGACATTTACGAGCACTACTCAATCCCAACGTGTCTCAATAGCTATTCAACCTGAAATACGCTTGTCAATAAAGAACGTGCACACATGAAATTAAACTTCGATTAATATTATTAAGTCATTTAATTTCAAAACACTCTCCGGTTCAAAGTGGGCTTTTCTACTCTGAACAAACGAAAAGCTTAAAATAAACTAACTTAAAATAACAGTAAATTAAATGTAACCTGAGAACTGTTTACAATTATCCATGACCGAAATAAATAACACCATTTAAAAGTTAGCAACGACGAGTCGTTGAAACTTTTACTTATTGCTTGCAATTTTTCACGCGCTGCTAACGATAAAATATAATCCAACAAAGATACAGCCAAAGCCAGCAAATATCCGTGCTACGTTTACGCTTTACGTTTTACGCTTCATTTATGAATTGCAAATGAACACGTACGTAATGAAGCTGAAATTATACAAACAACACTCAACGTTTCAATCGTTGCTCGTTTAATTCACTTCGTCGCAGCTAAAACTCTGTCTCAGTTTTTGTTGTTTTTTTTTTTGTTATTATTTTTTTTTCGAGCACGCTTGAAAACTGCTATTAACATGCAATTAACCCCTTTTGCGACGCGAGCCTATTTCACAATATTTAAAATTAAACGCCGTTTAAAATTTCACGTAACGAACGACGCGACATTTCTCAATTTTCATTCCTCAATTTTCTCCTCTGGCCTTTTACTATTACTCGAGAGAGCTTCAAACGTTCAATTCGACTCGATGAGTTCTATAACGTGGTAAAGGCGTGATAGATTTATAAACGCGGACATTTGAAAACGCAAAAATGCAAAGAATATGGGAAAATTTAGAAAGTATTTAAAATATAATATTATTTGCAATAATATTATGATAAAATATAATATTAAAATATGAAATATAATAAATTATATTACAATAAAATGTAATATTAAAATATAAGATATAATAAAACTATATTATAATAAAATATAATATTAAAATATAAAATATAATATATTGTAATAAAATGTAATATTAAAATATAAGATATAATAAATTATATTATAATAAAATGTAATATTAAAATATAAAATATAATAAATTATAATAAAATATAATAATTATTTGCAATAATTTAGTAAACTAATTTTCTGTCCAGGTTCCGTTTTCTTAAATTACATTCAGGAAATATAAACTTCCATGGTAAGTGTCCATTTTTCACGTTTCTCAAGAGACAAATTTAAATTTATAAAAAAAGGGGGGGGGGATGAATTTGTCGTTGTAAGTGTCGACATTGATGAAATAATGAGAAAGAATTCGCAAGTTTCACACTGCTAACGACCGAGCCTCGGTCTACGCCCTCAAACGAAATTACAAAACACAGTAGAGAGAAAATCCCATCCTAGGACCCGCACTTCACTTTCTTTCTCAGTGTCTCAAGACTTTCCCGCATTCTCTTGGCCGGGTCACACGCGTGCACACGCCTCCGACTAAAACAATTCGACGCATCCACGAAGGAGCGGCGAGTAATCGCTTTGGAATTCAGTAGCGGCTCGAAAACGAACGCGTCGGACGACTGTGTGAAAACGCCCGGAGCCCTCTTCGACGCGCCTCGAATCACGTTAGTCACGGCCAATGTAAATAAGCAAAGAGAGGGAGCGTATGGGGTTGCAGAAAAATCGGGAATTTTGCCATTGGCGAGCAAGTGATCACCGTCAACCCCTTTTGTAATCTTGGACGAGAGATATCTCGCGACCTGACACCGACTGT